ATTCCATTCCAGTGAAGCCTTGGGAACCCAGACCTTCTTGGTGTTGGCTGGCTTATCTCCCTGCTCCCCAACCTCTGCCCCTCTCCTGACCAGCCCTTGTCTATTCAGAGTGCACAGGCAGTGAGCTCCAGGGTGGGCAGAGATCTGGCCTCTTTCTCCTCCACTCCACTGCTGAGGATACGCACACAGGAGCCAAACTACACTATATTCCCTAAAAACATCATCAAGTCCCACTCATGGCTATCTGGTAAACCACAGCGATACTTCTCTGTCTACTCTCTCTGTTGTTTAAATGAGGAGACTTTCTAGGAGCATGCTCAATCCATCCCACAGCAAGGACACACTCTTTAGTGTTCTGTACCTGGGACCACAGGAACGTGGACAGAGTACATCTCACACTCTGATCTGTATCCTGGGAGCATATTCTAGAGTGTACCCCTCCATCCCCATCCAAGCACATGAATACCAAGATGAAGACTGTCTGGAGCTCACTCAGGCCGCACATCTAACCTCGCACAACCTTCCTGGAAGCACCAGAAGACTGACCTTCACTGTGCCCATCTTGAAGGTTAGGAACTCCTGTTCTCAATCACAGACCTAGACTCTGAGCTGCCTCTGTGGCCGGGATTCTGTGTCCACCCTCTGCGAGGTTAGCCTTGGGGATCTGCAGTCTAGATGAAACCTACAAGACACTGTGACACACACACACACACACACACACACACACACACACACACACACACCCCAAGAGCTTCAGAATAAACCAGAAACACACGTAGCATATTTGCTGATTAGTTTGCATGGCCAACACGAACTGATAAACTGACACTCAGTAAACAGAGAACAACAAGGGCTGTTTCTGTGGCCACACAACAGACTGCTTTTCGCCTGGCTCCACGCCAACGCCTATTACACATGGGAGGGTGGCTTGGTAAACAGCAGGCAAGCAGGGCAGAGGCGCCATGCTCTGGCCATTTAGCACCCACTGGCCATCACCTGTAGGAGCTCCCCTCTGGGCTTCCATGTGGGCCAGGAGCAGTTCTTCTCCCTGGCCAAGAGACACAGCAGCTGTGTCTATGTTAGCCAAGCCAGAACACAGGAGGCCACCGGAGAGACAGGAATAGCATCACCCCGCCCGGTGCTGAGAAATTCTCCCCACGTCCCACAACATTCCAAAGAACTGATTTTACAAAACCGGGCTATATTCCACAGGCAGTTAAAACACAGTCTTGGAACAAAAGAGCAAGTGGTTTGTAGGCCAAACATAAGCTTTGTAAGTAATTGAATGATAGTCGTTAAACATGTATGTATACACATTGCATGTTGAACATAACAGGGAACCAAAAAACTCACCAAACACCCATTGACTGCTGAACCCGGGGCTACAGCCAGAGCCCTGAAGCCAGCATCAGTCCTAACAACACTTTGGCATATGGATATGACCCTTTGCAACCATTCTCTCTTTCTCTCTCTCTATTACCAATTATAGTCATTCTTCAGTGTCTGTGGGGTTGCTTCCAAAGCTTCCTGCAGACACCCAAATCCCTGGGCACCACACATTCCTTATAGACAATGGAGCAGGGTTGGTCTTTCACCCATATGCATCTACATTATTTATAACACTCAGCACAATTCAAGTCTACGTCATACGGTACTGTTTAGGGAATGACAAGAACAAAACTCTGTTCAAGTTTAGTACCGACACAGTGCTTTTTTCCAAATACTTTCAATCCCAAGTGTATCAAATCCGCAGATGTGGAACTCACAGGCACAGACATTTGATTGCACATGCTAAACACCGGCCCAGTGTTTATAATTTGTTCTACGATTCTGTTTGCTGAGGCCCAAGTATTAAGCTGTCCAGTTACTGACGATCAGCCTGGTCGACTGGCCAGTGGAAATGTCCTTGATTTTACAGCTGTATGTGTATCACATACGGTAACTGGGTCACAGAGATTGCTACCGCAGTGCCTTCAGTTGTTATTTCTTTGTATATTTGATTCCAGCCACATGCGACCAACCCGTGACACTCCCAACAGTGCTTTGAACAGAAAGTGCAGGGATCAGGAGTCTGGTGTTGCCAGGCAATCCCTTCCACTTCCCGAGGGGGAAATGAAGTAAGTTTACATCCCCTTTGGACAAGAGCTATCACTCAAAAAAGAAGTCAAGTCACTCCACAGAGACAGAGGTTACAGAGGGAAAGATAGCAACTTGAAGGACTTTGAATTCTTGTCCCCAAAGGGTGCTGGGATCCTGATGCTTAAAAACTGGCAGATCCACCAATAATCATGACTGTGACCTTCACATATGGCAGGTCAGCAGGCACCACTTTTGGGTGCTTACAGTGTGCTAAGCCAGACCTTGCACTCCAGCTACAGGCAGGTGGTGTACATCCATCCTGAGTCTGGGCCCAAGCAGAACCATGCTCAGACCTGGCCCCAGGCATGCTGCAGCCACAATGCATTCAAGCCTGTGTTCTGGCCAAGCCCAGGTCAGAAGTGAGGCACCTACCACATGGCCATGCATTCTGGACTTTTTCACTTCCAGAAGCTTGCATGCATGTACACACACACACACACACACACACACACACACACACACACACACACACACAGTGAGTACTTCTGCAATCAGTGCTGCTGTGCCCTAAGAGGGCCAAGGCAAGCTTCCAACCCCTGATTGAAACTCTCCTAGGTACCAGGAATGCGCTGAAGCACACATGGTTTTTAACCCAAGCACTTTTGAGTTAACAAACGCAGAAAGCAATCAGACCCCAAGTAAACAACTCATTAGCGAGCATCCTATTTTAAGCTTGACTTACTACTCACATTCTCCAAAAGGGAGGTCGCAGAACACTACCCAAGGCATCGAATCAGATTTACAAGTGTCTGAATGGAGCTGCTGAAGGGCTAGGAATAAAAACACCTACAGAACTGCAGCCTACAGCCATTGTTTCACCTCCATAGGCAAACGCACCTTGCTAGAGAATCATAATGAACAGTGTAGCCATGCCTACCTCGTTGGGCTTATTCAGGATCATGCCATTAAAACATCACCTCCCACTCACCACTTTCTGTCCCAGGCCCCCTTGCACAAGGAAGCCTATGTTCTCCACCTGGGCCACAAGTCTGTATTTCCCCAAGGGATATCAAAGTCCACGAAAAGCCAACATGGGACAGATCAATTAATCTGGTCCTTCTGCTTCTCTTTCATCACAGCCCACAGCTGCCAGAGCCAACTCCTCACAGCATGGATGCCAGCCTCAGGCCTCTTGACTTCAACAACGGGTAACAAACACAGGCCTCTCCAGGGACCCAAAGAGCCATGAGTACCTTAGACTGGGGGCTATGAGGCTGCACCATTCTACATCTATGTTGCCTCTCTTGGAAAACTCTAGCTAGCATAACAGGAGGCCTGAATTCTTTATTTTTGAAGCACTTAAAGAGCCACGCACGGCTGAGCAGCACAATGCCAGCCCCTGCAGAGCTCCAACCCTTACCACCAGCCCTCCAAGGCAGCAGGTCCTGCCTGTCTATCTCAGACCTTTGCACGGCCTGGGACATACTTCATTCTCACCTTCACCAACGTCTTCTATCCAGATTTCAGCAGAACACTCGGTTTCCCTTCCTCCTCTGGCTCCTTGCCAAACATGCCTCTTCCTGCTGGCTATTCACCAGGGTTTCAAATTTTATAACTTGGCTCACCCCAGTCCTAAAACCCCACAAGGACACTGTCCCCTCCGACTGCCTCTGCATCCTAGGATCTCATACAGACTCCAGTACGGGGGCAGCCAGCGGGCCATTGGCACTGTGCACTGGAACAGATGTTAGGACTATAAACATCCAAACTGTCTGCCCGTCTCAGTACTGCCTGCTTTGGAGGCTGGCATTTTAAAGGTAGTCACCTATTGTACTGGAGAATGCCTAAACTGAGCATAATCAATTCCTTTAAGAAACCACCGTGGATCTGAGCCTTTTTCCACAAGGCAGTGGCAGTTCTGACGGTTGGGGGTTATGTCAACATCTCTCTCCCTCTACTGCCTACCATAAATTGAAGCCATAAGCCCCAGGATCATGGTGGTGTTTGTAGGCGGGCTCTCTGGAAGGTGACTAGGGTTAGATAATGTCTTGATTAGGATGAGGCCCTATTTATAAGTATACAATGGAAGATTACGTTGTTGCCCTGCAAGAATGCGGTGAGAAGGTGCTGTCTGCAGGCCTGGAAGAGAACCTCACTAGAGCCCGACCACTCCTGACGACACCAGCACCTCAGTCTGGAGCATGCATTCTCCAGGACTGGGAAAACCAACATCTGTGGCTTTAGCCGCTCAGCCTGTGGGGTTCTGTTGGACAGCTGAGCTGACTGAGACCATCTAAAGGCACACAGTGAGAGTGTGCAAGGTGGAAAAGTCATCGCTTCCTCAAGGCTGAGTACCTTGTGCTGTCAACTCCACAAATCTCTGATGCCCGTGGCATGCACCAACTGAGCCAAGCTCTGATGGCAGAACCCCTGGGAAAGGCTGCAGCAATGGGACAGAAGAACCTGCTCCTTGGTGTGCCAGAGTGGAGGAGGTGTTAGCCCACCTCTGTGCCATGTCAAGAAAAGTCGGTCGAGAAGACAGACACCTGCCAGCAGAACTTAGTGATCAAGACAGGAATGCAGCCCCTAAAGCTCGTTTCATGTTCTCTCAGCATCCCAAAGCCCCTTTCATCCCAGTACCATCTGCCCATACACCTGCTCCCTGCTCTTTCATCTCCCACCTGCAAGCTTCTCACCAGTCCCTAAAGACCCTAGGAATCAAACCAACAGAGGACGCCAGGTAGGCATGGCACACAACCATCAACAGGGGGAAGCATGGAATTAAGGCACCTTTCTTACCCCCAGTCCCCACCCCCTTAAGGTCCATGGCCCAGTCTGGAGGACTGTCAGCAAAATCAACTGTGTGCATGTCTATTTGCCCTTGCGAACACACTAGACAGGCATTGCCCTTTCAAACTAACCTTTCAGAGTTGGCATGGGGCCATCCTGGCCCTCCAGTGGTCCCAAAGGGTCAACAGGATCCGGCACCTCCAATTCACCTGGGGAAAGAACACAGGACACAGAGTAAAGCAAAAGTTTCGCTTCAGGGTGCTCCCATTTGCTTCTTAAGCAAAGCCCACGGTTTTCCAGCAAAACTGCCTGCTGTTTATAGCAAACACAGAGGGAAAAAACATCACAGAAACTTCTAGTGGACTCGTAGGGTGTCAAATTGGATATAACAGTATAAAAGAGATGTTCAGCCCAAAAATGTACTTCAAACAGTTCAAATACAGTCATTATGTGTTTACTTCAACACATAAAATATTGAAAACCACAACACACATTCTCCATGGACTTTTGGAAGACCCCTTGTTTCCAAACACAACACATGCAGGTGTCTCAATGCAGGGACAGGTTCAGGAATCCTGAATTAATCCTGAGTGTCATCAAAGAAAGGGAAGGAGTTGTTAACTACAGCTCTTCTGCAGCTGGCTCCAACTGCTGTCCTCTAGGCTAAGGACCCACTCATTAAAGAATAAATTTGGAACTGGAAAAGTTCTTAAGAAACTTATTCTCCCAAAGCTGGCAGTAGCAGTCAAGTGTGGATCCACCTCATCACCGTCAAACACACTTGCTCGTCTTTACACAACAGCAATACATTCTTCCCACAGCCCAGATGTGTGCAACTACCCACCCCAGAGCACCCAAATACCAAGAGCAGATGTGGTTTGCTTCAGGCTGAACACTCAGCTTTAAATAGGGCACAAAGTCATGCCACCGTCCGTTCCCAAGTCACAGGAAAAGATGGGCAAGGGAGGCTGACTACCCGGGAAACTGCCTGGGGTCTTCACAGAAGGCCCTCCGCATCCTCACCAGCCCCTTTCGCATTGATTTCTGTGTCCAGAGTTTCCAAGGATCTTGCCCCAATATGGTCCCATGGATGGGTAGAGGTGGGCAACTGGGAATGGTGAAGTCAGGGATGATGGAACAACACCTACCCTGCGTGAATCTGGCTTATGACATCAAAAGACCATTAGCAGGGTGCATAAACAGCAGAATATTACTCATCCTTACCAGGGAAGGAAAAAGGCCAGTGCTGTTGGTGCACTGTGAACTGAGGCTTGCCATACGTGCATCCCACATACTGGACAGCCAATCTGAATTCCTAGGGAAGGCTGACAATATTGCCAACAAAACTGGTATGGGCCTAGTACGACGCACAGTTAGTTAAACCACTGCTTAGAGTGCCTGCATCCCTACAGAAGCAATGCTTCCAGTCCTGACTTCATCTGTGTTTTTTCTTGAGTTTCCTGGTAATGTACTTCAGAGGCACTGAATGACGGCCCAGTTCCTTGGGTTCCTGGCACCCTTATGGGATACCCAGATGGAGTTCTGTGTCCTGGCTTTGTCCTGGCGCAACCTGATTGTTGTGAATATCTGGGGGGTGAACCAGAAAATGGAAGACTCCCCTCCTCTCTGTGTAGCTTTCAAATAAACAATTATATTTTAAAAGTCATCCAGAGAGCTGCCTAAGCCACGCAAAGGAGATGGTGGGGTTTTGTGGAATAATTAAAGATCTCCGTTTGAGTTTGAAATTTTAAATGGGCATGTTCCACATGCTATCACTCAGTACTGTTTAAATGTAGAGAGGCCCCAGGAAATAACACACACTTAAGATACATACTTACACACACACACACACACACACATACAGTGAAAAGAGGCATAAAGATTATTAACTGCTTAGAAATTGACAAATGGTGTGAAACAGTCAAATAAATATACACCCCAAAGAAAAATAAGCTGCACCAGCCCAGTCCCGCTGTGGCTCTTCCCGGCTGCTTTCCAACGCAGAGACCTGTTCCCACGTGGGTAAGCAGAGTCCTCAGTGCAGGAGGCCCAGGAGAGCAGGAGCGCCACAGCCTTGCACACCCATGCTCCACCAGCATCCGGGGAACCATAGGTGACGTCCAAGTCGCAGTGATCTTTCTGAGGATTGCGGGTTTCAGTATACACGGGGGATTTGCTTTTTCCTCTAGCCCAGGTGAAATTTATTTTGCCTGCTGAACAACACAACGTATGAAACTCGCACTCAGGAAAATGAGTAACACGTGAAGTTGTTCCTGTAACTGATGTCGGAAGCCTTACTGGTCTTGAGAACTAGATCAGAGACAGTAAAAGACCAGTAGTGCATTTCTGTCGTTTGTGAAATATGGCTGTGGCAAGGGGACTTCCAAGAGTCAGGAAAAAGGATGTGAAAATACAAGATATGTTTTGGCACAAAAGTCTGATGAAGTTGGTGGTGTGGTGTAGCAAGTTAAGCTGCTACCTGAGAAGTTGCCATCAATTATTGCAGCGCTGGTTTCTGTCCCCAAATGCTCTATTTCCAATTCAGCTATCTGCTGACAACTCTGAGCAGGTGTCATATAATGGCCTGAGGACTTAGGTCCCTGCCACTCACACCAGGGAGCTGGACCGAGTTCCTCACCCAGCCCTGGCCACTGCAGTCATTTACAGAATAAACTAATGGAGGGAAGATTCAGACTCTCCCTGCTAGCTTGGATAATTGGGTCCCTCACAGCGTGTGGGAGACCTGACTGTGTTCCCAGCTGCCGGCTTTGGCCTGGCCAAGTGTGCCTTGCTGCAGACACATGGAGCGTGAACCAGGATAGGAATTTTCTGTGCTGTTTGTCTCTCTACCTCTCAAATGAATAAACTGTAAAAAAAAGTTTTTGGAATGTCACCTTCCAAAAGCACACGCAGATGAGGCAAAGAATATCCTCCTGTAAGATCCTGTCATCTCCAAACATCAAAAAGCAAAACACGACAGGGAAGCTGGGCGGGAGGGCTGTTTCCAGAACCCACAGAGACACCAACACTATCCAGATCCATCACAGACAAGAAAGTTAACAAGAAACGTGATGTATGTCGGATTTTGGAACCTATGGTCTCAGATACCCACTGGGGATTCTGCAGTATATTCTTCCCTGGATAAGGGAGCCCCGAGGGACAGTGGTTCTCTATCCTCAAGCCTATTCGGTTCCCACTTGGTGTGGGCACCTTTCCACGCCAGCTCCTACTGGGCCCACTGGTGAAGTCAGGCCTTTGTCCTCATTGGCTAGGAGAGCTCTAGAAAAGCCAGGGGTGCCTCCTGCACCCGCTCACAGCAAAGTTTCTGCAAAGACCTGTGCCTGCACTAATGCCTCAGAACTTCATTATTTTTCTTTGGAAAAAAGGACTCCAGCCATCGTGCCGGTGAGCATGCTAACACGTATCCCGACCCCGTGCGTTAAGAGCAGCAGATGTGTGGCATGCACGGCAGTCCGGGCTTTTACTCACTGCACATGAGTAACTTTGCTGTGCAGACACACACGGAATGACAAGGTCAGGCCACCAGGAAGCCTTGGGCAGCACTGTCAGAAGGTTTATAAGGTTCTTGCAAATTCCTGACTGTTTAAAGAGAGGACAGCATTTAATATGAAATAAAAAAAATTAAGTGTGGGTGGTTTCAATAAAATGATACATGAAAGGTTTCATCCATGTCAAAAAGACTTTATATGTGTGGGAGCAGGGGAGGGGTGGAGTAGGAAGAGGCAGGAAGGGGTGGGGTGGGAGGAGCGGAGGAAGGGTAGGGTGGGGGAATAGGTACTACTGTGACACAAAGCTGGGCCTCAGAGCGCAAGGCTGGCATCCGTATGAGCAACAAGCTTCAATCCTGGCTGTTACATTTTCAATCCAGCCTCTGGCTAGTGCATCTGGGAAAACAGTGGAAGATGGCCCAAGTGCTTGGGTCCCTACAGCACTGTGGGAAACCCAGTTGGAATTCCAGCATGGCCCAGCCCCTGCCATTTAGAAAGTGATCCAGCAGATGGGAGACCATCCTTCCCCTACCAGCACATTTCAGACGCTGACAAGTGGGAGAAACTAGGTATAAGGGTTATCCCACTCTCGTATAAATCTGAAATTATTTCAAAGTAAAAAGCTTCCTGGGAGACAATTACCCATCCCACACTGTTCAATTGCTTTACCCAAATCCCAGCTGAAGAATAGCTGTAGGGTAACCCTGCCTTGGTAGCAACCGACAGTCTTCAAGGCACAAGCATTGGGAACGGTGCCAAAGCCAAGAGCATGGATGCAGCTGTATGAACAGAATACAACCCAGGTTCACCGGATTGAATGAGAGTTCTTCGGAGTCATGCTGCATGCCGGTGAAGACGCAGAAAGGAAAACACTTGGGAGAAGCGTGGGGTGTTAGATGGATCCTACTTTAACTGCCATCGGTGTGATACTATTAGCCCTTAGCAAGAAACGTATGGCATGCTTTTGGAAGCACTTCAGAGCGCCCAGCACAGGTGCAAAGGATTCCCTGTGGATACCGATGGCACTTCTTAGCAGGGTTACACCTGGGGCCTGCAGCAGCTGGAGGCAGCCACTCAAATGCACACACATTTTTAATAACTTGACACTGCAGACTCATCGAGGGAAACTCTTCTGCGACCCTGCTCTCCACATGAACCTGTAATGTGGCATCTTGACTTATGACAGCAATACGCTATGGGAACTATGTGTCTGCAAACCGCAAGTGTGTCTGTTCTGGTTCCTGGGCTCTTGAGGGGATAATCTCTCTTATCATCAGCAGCAGAGACAACTATTCATCAACAATGTCCTCATGATGCTCAACCTGTGTGCCCTTGGACTCCATGATGTGTCCTGGCTTCCATTTGCATTTCTTTTCAACATGTTTTCTTATTCAGACTTCTCAGTCCATTCATCTGCTTTACCTGTTTATCTGAATCAGCATGCTTATTGAGAGGCAATTAGAGCCCAGTCTCCGGAGTATTCCCACAGCTTCAAAGCAGCCTCCTTTTAATTAGCCAGGGTATGGAATTCACCAAAGCCTGGAATTCTTGCATGTGGTATTCCTTCTGAAAAGTGCTAATTTCCAGGAGTTGAGAAAGAAAGCAGTTGGGGTAGAAATAAAGACTTCAGCCTACTGGGGGGCCTCTGTGCACACAGGAGCCTCCTACAGAGTAAGCTGGAGTTGGTTTTTTTTTTTTTT